GTCTAATTCACAGCTGTTTCTCTAAGTGCCTAGAAACATAATAAATCCTATAAGGATTTTTGAATGGATGAATGAAAGAAAGAAATAATAAAGCTCAGTGGGACAGTCAGAGTAAGGAATATGACTTAACAGATAAAGGTACAGATAATACCTAAGTTATTTCAATTTAAATTAATCTTATGATACCTAAGAAAGGATACTGTTTTTAAATAAAAATTTTTTGATCGTGTGGTGGGAATGTATCTGTGTTTCAACATAGTGATAGTGGTACCTATACCTAGCTTTGAAGTAGGTCAGTGTTTCAGAAATGGTAATTTTTCTGAGTGGTTGTTTCAAAATGTCCTGAATTTAACTACTTTCATAGGCTTCCTCTTGACTGCATTATTTCTAACAGCTGCTAAACTTAGCCTGAGATCTTTAACCTAAGACTGAATAATAAAAAATACTTAAAATACTGTGTAGCTTACAGAGTCACTATTAACATTATGAGAGAATTTACCTTTTAAATTACAAGTTAAATGGTATATTAACATTTCAAAGGGAGCTTGTAAAACTAAAATATATTTCTATAGATGTTGCTGATTGATCTTAGCCTATTTCAAAGTTTAAAAACACGTGAATAGACACATTTCCATTTCTAGAAACTTAACAATGCACTTGCTAGATAAAAATGATGAGATTTTGGCCGGGCGCGTGGCTCAAGCCTGTAATACCAGCACTTTGGGAGCCTGAGGTGGGCGGATCACGAGGTCAAGAGATCGTGACCATCCTGGCCAACATGGTGAAACCCCATCTCTACTAAAAACACACAAAAAAATTAGCTGGGCATGGTGACGTGCACCTGTAGTCCCAGCTACTCGGGAGGCTGAGACAAGAGAATCGCTTGAACCCAGGAGGCGGACTCCAGCCTGGCGCCTGCGACAAAGTAAGACTCTGTCCCCCCCCAAAAAATGAGATTTTCTGATATATATCACAAAATCATTAAAAGCAGGTTATGTGACTGTTTAGATGAGTTGCTATTCCTGTATATATATCCTGCAGCACTAATTTAAGTTAAGGTCATATTTTTGCATTGCAAACTAATGTAGTAGGGAAAAGAGAGGTATAAGTGCTATTTTAGTCCAAAAGGGACTGACATTGTACTGTACTGGACTCATTTGAGAGTATGGACAGAAATTATAGACTAGAGACTAGGCACTTCTTGCCATCTAGTGTCCTCTCAGCTCATAAGAGAGTGACTTATCTGACTGGTGAACTGGGGAAAAGGAACTAGGCATACTTGGTCCAGTATCTTTGTATTACAGAAGATAGAAATTATTTAGGTAGATAGGGTGAGTCCCTGGCA